GTATCACTCCATCATGGAGTGGGTTAAGATTTCTAATTTTTTGTACTAACCCGGAGCAAAATATTTTATTATAACCCAAGTTACTATATAATTTTTCTCCGGGTTGCTCCAAATTATTTTAGTAATTTGATTATTAATTAATTAATAAATAATAATTTGTTAATTTTGATTTCTTTGTTCGCAAATTTTTATTATGAATAAAAAACTGAAAATTTATACGAAATACTTTCAGATAGTGAGCCTAAACCATCAGGTGAATCATTATATAATATAAATAGAAAAGAAAGTGAGATTAATTTGATTTTTAGTCAAGAAGATAATGAAAGTTTAATTACTACTACTACAACTATAACTACCACAAGTACAGCTACCACAAGTACAGTTACTAATTCTATACAAGAAAATAAATCTAATTTATCAAACACTTTACGTGAAACTTCTTGGGTTTGGGAATTTTTTTCAAAAGAATATAATGATAAACAAGAAATTATAATTATTACTTCATGAAGCAACCCGGAATAACATGGAGTAATCTGGAGTAACCCGGAGCAACCCATGGAGTATTAACCCAGTACATTTAACTCGGAAAATAAACTTCTGCAGAACATGTCACACAACTATTACTGTATTAGTATTAGCAGTCATGTGACATGTCCTTTCAAATTATTTTCTATTACTATATATGGGAATTGGACTAGGAAATCGACCCCTCAGACTGGATAGTTTTTTTATGTCAATCATTATGAAAATATTGTAAATCCGAAATTGCCTGCCAAAATTGATTTTTTCAAAAACCATTTCGGCTAACATCTTTAATCCAGATGTTGAATGTCTTGATCTTACAAATGTTTTTCTGCAGGGATATAATTTTGGAGAAAATAAATCCATAGTCAATATAGCATCAATCCGTGAGAATGTGCCAGCCTTGATTGATGCTGGGTTCTTCTCTTTTCTCATTTTGAAAACTTATTTTATGGTTGTATTGGAAAAACAGTGCAAAAAGAGTCTATGTAAGTAGAACAGCATAGTGGACACTGTTGCAGATCACAAAAAAATGATCAACATAACATATGTTATGGTGAAAGTTCTTGCAAA